AAAACTCACAAGCTCAAATTCCTCTAGTGGTCATACAGATAATGCAATGAAGTGACAATTGGGAGTCTTGGGACTAGGAAGGGCTTGAGGCTTGTTCAAACAGGGAGACCACCACTAAACTCCAATCAGTTGTTGATGAGAATAGGCACAGTGCAGCAAAATCTTTTGATTGTTTTTTTCCCTGAGAAGCTAGAATCTTGATTTTTATGTGAGATATCCTTCAGAGGAAAGACTGCGGGCTTACTAAAAACATATCTATGTGGGCCACAGGGCTGATGACTTATCTTTGGCTCAGAAGTTCCCTTTCATTCAAAATTCAGTTCTACTTTCTTCCTGTTTTCTGTAGGTTTCTGAAATGTATTCAAAATTTTATACAACTATAATTAGGTTGTGGTGTGAAGCATCTAGTTGCTGCCTTAAAACAAACTAAAGGAAAGAGATTAATTTACATTTTTCAGTTGTCTTTCCTTGATCTCAAGTTTCTCTCTTCTGGGAAAGCAGGATAATGGAATAAAGAAATATTAAATGTTATGATGGTGTTTTTTCTAATTTTAAAGGAACAACTGTCTCAGTTTCTCTGTATGATGGACTTATATTGAATCTTTCATTTTCTGATTAATATTGGGTTGTCGGAAAAGTCATGACATATTTTTTTCTTTGTTTTTCATTGCAAAAATGTGTCATGACTTTTCCGACAAACCAATAGAATGTAATTTGCTTGTTTGTTTGAAATTAAGGCACACAAGTCCATAGATAAATTGAAATTTAAAACTCCTTGAAATGCTATAAAGAAAACTAAGTAGAAAAGGAGAAATACACAAAATAATGCAAATATTTCAGAGGATTGAACAATCTAATCATGTATTAAATATTACAAATTTGATAAATACAAATGAATTTGATAAATACATATAAATTTCAGGCAGATTTCAGTTTAGTGGGTTATATAGTTAGAAAGTGATCAACAAAAATCACACTGTTTAAATATTTATGTTCAGAAATTATTAAGCAAAAGCTTACTCTGTGCTTGAGAACCAGTAGATATTTTTGTCCCACTATTATGATCCTGTATATTTCCTTCACTATTTTGGCCCTGGGATTGATTCTATGTTAAAAAATATAAACATTTAAATGAGAATTATACCAGTGCCAATGATTTTTGATATGAAATTACCCTTAATAATTAATTCTATTAAGCCAAATTAATTCCTTGATCAGTTTTCTAGTATAGTGCTTAGAATATTTTCGATTTTGTCATGTGAATAAAAATACTTTGACCTAGATTAATTTATGTTTAACTTACCAACACAGTTCTATTATATCAGTCTTTTGTCTAAATCAATTTTTACCATAATAGCTCCTGCTACTATGAGTTTTCTTTTGTGGGCATTATTTTTATCCAGTCCCATTTTCCCAGGTCAAAATTTGTAGATCTAAATATTACCACATACAATTTTACCTATTTTCAATTTTATTTTCTATTGATTATTTTTATCAGTTATATTTAGTATTTATTTCTTAGTTAATCCATGATAAAATTGTCAAATATCTCAGTATTGGTCTATTGTCAAGAATTGTCTGTTATAAAGCCAATTTAATTCTTCTGTTTGTTTTGGGGGCCTTGTATAAACTGTCCACAGCACTTGTGGCTCTAAGAGCAAATTATGGAATTGAAAGAGCTTACTTCTAAAAAAAAATTAAGCTATTTTCACTAAAAGAAATGGGGTGAAATTCTAGGTTATTGGGGAAAGTTTGCTGAGGATATAGCATATGATCTGCACCACAAAAGATGAGAAAGAATTCACCAGATGCTAATAGGGTTAAAGGACATTACATAGAAAATAACCAGCATGTGTAAAATTATAGAGGCAAGAAGAGTGTGTACACAGTAGGCACCAAATAAAAACTGAACAAATGAATGGATTTGTGTATGGTAAATAGTAACTAGAGTGTAGGGTGTGTAAAGGGGGTGGAAGAAGTTGAAATGAGACAATGAAAGGCTAATTGGATGTGGAAGATGAATGAGTGAGGAAGAAGTGGAAGAGGTCACCCAGTCTCCGGTTTAAATGAGTGGATGTATCTTGATGCTATTAAACAAGAAAGCAAACACAGAAGGAAACATAGTCTCCAGTCCACTCTGCTTTGGGGCCATTTTGAGCTGAAACCAGACCTGATGCACTGGAATCTGTCTTGTTTCCAAAGACCTCAGAAAAGATTTTTCATTACTCTTTTGGTCAGTCACTTTGATGCTTTTTAATCCCTAATTAAAATTAGTGAAGTATTCCTTTTGTCTAACCTAATACTCTTGATGCACTGAACCTCCATTTCCTCTTGTTCTGTCTTGCGAGAGTTTGACAACAGCTGGTCACCATATTTGAATAGGGATATTTCCCAGAAGGTTCTTTCTTAACCTCTTAAATCCTTTTTTCAATGTTCTTCTGACTCAACCCCCTTCATAATATATAATGCTTTGTTTCAGGGATGATCTGGTCAGCCTGTTGACCAGGGGCATTATATACTTTGAATTTTTTAAAATGTAAAATGTATGTGCTTATTTAGTTCTTACTATACTTTCTTCCATATTCCCAATCAATTTCTTCTTTAGTTGTTTCTTTTCTTATTTCTGGAAACTTTAAAGATAATGAGGAAATAAGGATAGCAAGGTGTGGTAAAAGGGCTGTGAATATTTAGCCTGAGGAAAAAGGCTAAAATGGTAATGTATTCAAATCTCAAAGGGATTCCCCCCTCATAATAAATCTTTCTTTACCATGGATTAAATTTAATGAATGAGGAATATAGCTATAAGAAATGTAGATTATAACATACGTGTGTGTGCACACATGTGTGGTGTGTGTGTCCCTGACTAAATGAGACATTAATAGTATAACCTACAGGAGATAGTGGCAGCTCTGCCCTATGCACCTTGGTTTAGTGGAAAAGGTATTGTAAGGACTTGAAAGACCAGGTCTGAATTTCATTACTTTCAGTTACTAGCTGTATGACCTTGGGTGATTACTTTAGCTCTCTGAGTCTCAATTTTCTCATCTGTAAAATGGAAATAGTATCTACTTCATAGGATTTTTGTAAGAGTTAAATGGAGTAACATATGTGAATATGCTTTGTAAACTATAAATTACTACAAATGGGTAAAGAGGTTTTATCTGAGTAGACATTCACCAGGAATGATTTGAGAGATTCTATGTGAGGGATTATATAAACTAAAAGAGGCACTGCCTCTTCCAGAGAGGGACCCAACATCAGATGTCCTCCCTGGGGTAGCTCATCCTCAGGCTCTGTGAGATTGTCTTTCTCACCTATTGCAGTGAAACAGACCATTTCTAGCCATAGCAACAGAATAAGGTAACACATGATTTCCACAAGATTGTCCCATTTTATGTATGTACCATAATATATGTAATTAGTTCCTAACTGAGGGATATTTAGGTTATCTCTAGAGCAGGGGTTGGCAAACTGTGGCTCGCGAGCCACATGTGGCTCTTTGGGTACGTTCCATCTCAAAAGTTTGCCAACCCCTGGAAGAGCCAATCCTGTCCCTCACAACAATTTAAAAATTATTTGAGAGCCATAAATATATTTTTACAAATAAGGAAAATTTAAAGTAATATTATAAATGAGACTATGATATTTTTATTTTCATTTTCAATTTTACTTCAGAGCTACATGTATGTACCCAAAGAGCCGCATGTGGCTCACGAGCCGCAGTTTGCCGACCCCTGCTCTAGAGTGAAGATGAACAGTGAGATCAGACGTGTTTCCTGTAACATGACTTCCTTTTAATTGAAGAAGTTTAGATAGAAATTCTGGCCTCCTTAAAGGTTGAGGCAGAAGCACAGAGAGGGAGAAATTCATCCTAATCCTAGAAATACCTTCTGCAAATAGCGATAATTCTACCCTTTTCTTTTTACTCCTAAGGCATGCGGAGCCAGTTGGTGCCAGCTCTCAAAAGCTGTTAAATTTTCAGAAATGTTAGGAATTGGTTGTTAAACACAGCCATTATAAACAAATTATATAAACCTACTACTAAATTATATTATAAAACAAAGGAAAGAAATACTCAGAATTCATCACTTCCTAAGTTTTTTCACTACATTTTACTATTATCTATGCTCTCAAGGTTATTTACATCTATTGTATTTGGATGGTTGGAAAAACCATATAATAGTGACCTAATATGGGTCCCTTCCTAACTCCATGTTTAATGGTGTCGCATTTCTAACTTGAAATGGGTCATGGTGGGAGTATTTACACCATGGAAATTGGCAAATACTACAAATCAGGTATCCCTCATAGGCCCATCTGTTAAACACGTACCAACACACCACTCCTTTAGTTCATTTGTCAAATGCTTTGGCTAGTACTTGTAGGGCATCCAAAATCCTGAAGCTGTGGGGGTAGTAGACAATGTGCCTTTTGGAATTGGACTGCAGATTTGAATTTGAGCTTCACTACTTACTTGCTGTGTGACACTGGACAAATTACTGACCCTTTCTTGTATATCTGTAAAGTGAGACTAAAAGAAAGACTACCATAGTATTGTCTTGAAGTTTAAAAAACTTACTACCTACAACACATGTAGAACAAACAATACTTAACATATAGTATGTATTATGATTATTTTAAGTTAGATAAAATTTTAAATTATGACATGAAAACCTCTTTCTAGTCCTAGTTTGTCACATGGCTCCTAGGGCCTTTATCATGTTTGTCTCTGAACATAGTCCCCTTGGTGGATGATCATTTAAAATAGAGTTCTCAGGGCTAGATACAATATTTCAGGTATAGCCTGTGCCCCACAAAATACAATAGAATCTCCCTTGGTTCATAATGTGATTCCATTTTTGCTGCCTACAAGTGCCCACGACACTGCTGACTCACATGGAGCTTTCTGAAATTCTTACCTTTTTCATTCCTTTGTCTCCAATCTGGTTTTATACAAGTAGATAACACCTATATACATCTACATCATCTGTGCTTTCCTGTCTTCCCTCCTCAAGCTGACCCCAGATGGTGGATGGAAGGGACGGGGGGCACAGTGACAGTTTATCCTGATGGGTTCCCTTTCCACTCGGGCATTGACCTTTGCCCTCTTCTTAGTCCTCTACAGCCTTGCCACAGCTATAAATGGCCTCATCATCTTCCTCACCTAGACAGACCCCAGGCATAACAGCCCCATGTACTTTTTCCTTGGCCACCTGTCCTTCCTGGATATTTGCTTCATCACCACCGCCATCCTGCAGATGCTGATCCACCTGGCGGTCAAGAACCATACACTCTCTTTGCCTCCTGCATGACCCAGGTGTATCTGGTGTTTGGTGTGGGTGTGGCTGAGTGCCTCCTCTTGGCTTTTATGGCCTGTGACTGTTATGCTGCTATCTGCCACCAGCTTAACTATGCCCAGATCATGAGCCAGCAGGTCTATGTGAGGCTGCTGAGTACTGCCTGGTTCTTTAGGCTGACCAGTGGCATCCTGCTTGATTACATGGTGTTTCGTGGTCCATTCTGTGGAGACAACCACATAGAAAACTTCTTCTGTGAGGCCCCCATAGTGATTACCCTCTCTTGTGGAGACCCCCACTTTTGTCTGAGGTATCTCTGCTGATGCCATCATGGTGCTGCTCAGCCCCATAGCTCACTGTCATCTCCTATGCCTTCATCTGGGCCTCCATCTTCAGCAGAGCCTCCCCCTCAGGTCCGGGGAAGGAAGACCTTCTCTACTTGCACCTCCCAATCTGACTATGATCAGCTTTTTCTATACCTTGGCCATGTTCTCTTACATGAACCCCCACAGCACACATGGCCCTGACAAAGACAAGCCTTTCTCCCTCCTCTACACTATCATCACCCCCATGTGCAAACCCATCATATACAATTTTTGAAACAAAAAAATGAAGAGGGCCATGGTGAGGGCCCTTGGACAGACCAGCCTGGCCCAGGCAGAGTCTGTCTAGCCCGAAGGATCCTGGAGGGGAAGCTCTGTCCTCTAGCCCTGACGGCTGGGTAACTCACCAATGCTGAAAGGCTCTAGGAAAGAGTACTCATAGCTTCCTTGGTACCAGCATGAGGCCTGGAAGATCCTATTTATGTCTAAAGCTCATCTGTCTGATGTTACTTCAAGCATTGTTTTCTTTTGGACCTTCCTCAGGAGAATTTGAGAGTTTTCTGAGCTTTTATTTTTTCTATGTTCTCACAATAGGATCTGATAAATACGTAAGTGCACTTAACTCCACTTCATTTTATTTGTTTAGTACTTTGACAAGACAAGCTATTATTCCTAGCCTGAGTTTTGCATATGCATTTCAGAGTACACTTTTTTCCTCTTTCAACTTATCATTTCAGTCTATTTTTCTTTCTCACATTCCACTCTCATATCCTGACTATGCCCTCATCCACCCTGCTCCTACGTGAGAAAAGTAGGTAAAGAAGAAAAAGATAGAGTAGTGTTGATATTAAGAAAAGTCCATTAGAGAAAAGAAGAAAAAGAAAGACTAAGGATCAGCAGCCTGAACTCCATCTTCTTCGCCTCCACTAGTCCTTGAGGCACAATTTGTACTGGCATTAAATTGCCAACACTGCATTCTATTTATATCTATACTTGTGTTTTGTTGGGGAAGGACAGGTGGGAGAGGCCAGTGTGTCAAGACCCTTTTCCTAAATCCTCTAGTTTCCAAAGTAACATGACTGCTTGGTATTTCCCTTCAGATCCAACTAGTAAGTGCCTCTACCAAGCTTCTCAGATTACCAGTTTCCTTCCGTTGTTCATACCCCAAATTAACTCCCCTCTCCCTACAGCCTTCCTTTTTCTCAACCATCTTTCATTTCATTGCAACTCAATCCTATTCTGCCTTACCCTCATCTTAAATGGATCCATTTCATTTCCTGTACTTTAAAGACTATCTCTTCACCTACCTTCCCCGTTGCAGAAGCCTTTGTATTTGCAACCCTGACCTCTCCGGTTTCCTCTAGCTTCTCTCCTTAACCAAACCCAGCACCCCTTAAGAGGGTATTATATTCTCAGCTGTTCCCTTCCTTTGAAAATTGCATCTTTCTCATGCCCCTTTCATAATAGATAGGAAAGAAAAGGGGATAAGCCCCTTCCATATTTTCTGGTACCACTTCCATAAGATGAATACAAATAATTTAAGGTGCCCTCAAATAGATGTACTACCCTTTCCACATCTTTATATCACGTGTTACCCTCTGCAATGACGTAAAGCAGTAGCTTCACTCTACAAGCTCTAATCCTTTGAGTCCAAATTGGTGAATCTCTAGATATCATGGGACATGTGAGAAGCACTTCTTAGAGAGGTGGAAGAAATGAGACACCATTGTAATCAAGAAGAAACAATAAGTGCAGAACCTAAAGGTTTCCATTATCAAAGAAAAGTTACACCAGGCAAAGTTAAACGGGCAAGAAAGACTTGAATACTATTGCGATAGGAGATTGAACTTAACTCTGCCAAAACAAGTCGCTGGGAAGTTTTTTAGAGCTGCAATGGTGGGGCTCACCCAAAGGAAAAGTAAGCTTTTTGGCGGTAGTTTCACGATTTTGAACAAGGCGCCCACTGAAGTTTTGCTCTTACTCTCCCACTGAGACTAGGAAATAGGAGTGCTATCTTCCTTGAGGATTGCATTTCAAAGGGATGGCTCCCAGGCCCTTGAGAAAGACATTCCCTGGGTCTTAGAACTAGGAAGGGGCTTTTAAGATTTATATACATTTCAAAGGGTCAGAGAAAGAATTTGCAATTACAAGTACATGCTCTGAGAAAAGGGAGGTCAGGGGCCTGTGGTCAAGAAGAAACTTGTCTCAAGTTTAGTCAAGTGGAAAGGGGAATGTTAAGGTCTTCTTGGTCACATGGAGAACAAAAGAAGGGCTTAGTCTTCCTCATAGGATTTCAGCTTTTTCTCCAAGTTTGAAAATTACTGCCTCAATGAGCCTTTAAAAGTAAAAAGAAAAAAGCGAAAAAAAAAATAAAGGCAGCAAGGAAAAGGAAAGGGTGCTTTTTTAAGTTTCCTGAAAAATAATTTTGTAGCTTACAGTTGCCCGGCACTGGTGTTCGCTGACATCATAAACAAGACACAGTTCTAGCTTTAAAGCACACATGTATGGCAGACAAGAACAAATAATGGTAATGCAAAGGGAAAAGGTTGTAAGAGGCCTGTACAAAGTACGTTGGGAGGGCAAATAACAGCAGCTTACATTTATTAAGCACTTATATTCCAACAGCTTTACATTTAGTCTTCACAAAACCCTTGAAGTACTGGTATTACCTCCATTTTGAGAAGTAAAGCTGAGGCTCATAGAGGTTAAGTGATTTGCTCAAAATCACACCGCATTTCAAATGGAATAGCAGCAATTCTAACTGGGGCACCAGCTCCAGAGCTAGCTCTCCTAAGAAGGTAATGGAATAACTGCAGAAGAATGGGGCAGGTTTTATACCAAGGAGGTGATATTACAACTAATCCTTAAAGAATAAGCCGTAATTTTTAAGGTAGGAAATGGGGGAAGAGGGGATAGAAGCCAGGGAGGAGTAATTTCAGGCAAGAGGGACTGCATGATTCATTGTTAAAATGGTACGTTCGAAGTGGATGGCAGAGGGTGAGCAGGGACCCGAATGCTGAAAAATCAGGATGAGTGACCTAGAACCGTCTTCTCAAGGGCGAGCACTTTCTCGTCAAGGTCCTGGGATCCCGGGAGCCCTGGATGCCAGGTGGGAATGCACAGAGTGGGGCTCTCGCGCATGAGCAGTCCTGGATGCGTCTCCCTTGCTGCAGCCTCTGCTTTGGTCCCTGGACCTGGGATGCACACGAAGAGTCCCCAAAGACCCCAGAAGCCGTGAAAACCCACATAAATGCAATAACAAGAAGCTACCCTGAAGTGCGTGTCCCTTCCCTTTTCCATAAGCAGGACTCAGAGCCGCATGCCCAAACTGCCTAAGAGGCTGCGGACTCCGACCCAATTACAACCCGGTGTGGTCCACGCTAAGAGCCTGCGACCAATCAGCCTTCCACAGCCTCTCGGATCACAGCTATGGCAACCAATGTGCGGCTTCTCCTTGGCCGCCCCGCCAGGGCCGGACCGCGCTAACTGGACCACCTCTGGGAAACAAGAGCTATTTTTGGAGACTGGGCAGTCACCCTCCCCCGCTGAAGATGCAGACGCTGGCCTTGGGATCCCCTCCCAGCGGAGTGGAATTGTTGAAATGCCGCGTCGCTTTGTCAGAGGATAGGATGGGATGCGGGCGGAGCAAGGCTGGAGGCAGGCCGGAGCGGAAATCTTGCCAGTCACACGGAGTCATCACAGCTCCCAGCCTTGTCCACGGATCTCTAAGCTAGTTCTTTCCAGGTGATAGCCCCCTCCCACTTTTTAGCAAATTGCATAATCGTTGGGTTCCTCTCCCCTCTTTTGTAGAACGGCAATGCTCTCTGAGCTTCCTTACCTCCCCTTTCCAGTTATCCACTCCGGAAAGCCTTCCTTGATCCCTTTCCCATTCTGGGTTCGTCGGACTTTCTCTGTGTTTCCTTCATAACGTGTGCGTTTTCCTACCACTGTACTCTTATTTATTTGCTACTGTCTGATTTATTTTTGAGTCCTTAGCACAGTAGCTGGCCATAAGAGCCCTATTTCCTCCATAAAATCTTAAGCAGAATCCTGCTGAATTAACCAAATAAAGGCAAAGCTGATAGGAGTGGAGTGTCCAGACCCCTCAACCCACAAGGAAGCCCTGAGGCACCTATTATTAGTTTGTGACTTCAGCTGAGATATTCAGTTTAATATATTGAAACATGGTTTACCCAGGACATGAAAATTAAACATACCTAGAGCTTCTAGGGGCAGTCTTAAAATCTCATCTTTTTGGACTTCTAATCTGATTACACGTGTTTGCTTTTATTTTCCAGCCTAAAGACCTAGGTGTCTGTTTGCTTCTTCAGATCAATGCCTTTTGCCCTTCACCTAGCTCTGGGCTTGGTAGGCTGACCAGAATGGACCATGTCAACAGATTCCCTTACCTTTGGCTTTCTGGGTTTGGCCAATAGGCAGAAGATCAAAATTAAGTACAATAGCAGTGTGAGGTTGGGGTATTTAATCCTCTGTCTCTTTCCCGGTGGGGATTGTGGCAAACTCACTTGAGTCCCTTTAGTTAAGATCTCAGCTCCTGTCAGGTGGCCCTCTTTACCTAGCTCTCTGAGTATTTCCAGCCACCATCTCCCATTACCTGTGTCTAGAGGGTGTGACACCCGGCTCTAGTTACTACCCTCGCCCAGGGGCGAAACACGTGGGAAGGGAACCCAAGATAGTTCTCTTTTTCTAAGTTCAGGAACCACCATTCCCATGACCTCTTCAGGCTTAGCCCCCCTAATACTAGATTCTGGGTGCTGTACCCACCTTGTGATTTTCCCACACCCTGCCATGCACCTTTGTAAATAATCTTTTGTTAAACTCTTCTCAAACTATCCTAATTTGAGTATGCCATCTGTTTCCTGGGAGGCCTGCCTGCATTCTTGCTTTTGGGTTTTGTGACATAAAACCTTGCATCCTTTTAATAAACTTCTTTTTTCCCCCCTCAGAACTATTACAGATAGGTTTCTATTTGTTGCAACCAAACAAGTCTTAACTAAGACTATCTACCTCAGTGATGTTATGAGGATTAAATTAGGTAAAATACTGCAAACACCTAAACCAGTGCCTCCAAAAATGTTACCTTTTCTTTTCCAACTGTAAACAACACCTCATGTGTCCCAAACATCAGACTTATCTGTTCTTTTGTACTTCTTGTTGGGAAGAAAAAGCCCATTTCACTGTCAGTATTTTGCAAGTTTTTCATCATTCCAGCTTTTCCTCTTCCAAGCGCTGTTCTCTTCATGTTCTAGGTGCTGATATATTTGTATTTGTGTTTTGCTATGTTTTGTTTTGAAGCTTTTCTTCCTGGAAGGATTGAGTTAATCATATTCCTCAGTTCATGACACGCCAT